TTTTTAAAATGATTATTTTCCATATTTTTAAAATATAATTATTCTAAACAAATATTATTAACGTAAATAAATAGAGATAATTTTACTGTAAAACTTTTGTATATAACATTTTTGATATCTTGAATAGTTTTTGAGATATAACGAAAAAAGAAAAATTAATTTACATATAAAGGGTGATTTCATCCCTTTAAACCGTTTTTTAGCCCCAACTGATAATTTCTAAATTCATCTATTTATGTGACCTCAAAGTGTACCAAGTTTCATTAAAATTAGAATTTAACACTTTGCGAGATTCCCTTGTAAGTTATTACTCATATGCATACAAATATTACATAAATTCCCTAAAAAGATGTATCACCCATGCCTTTAAAAAGGTTAGAAATTTGAAATGTGTTTTAATATTATAGTTTTTGTAAAAGTAAAAACTAACATTGTTTATTTTTAATAATGCACGCATACATAATTATACATATTATCATTTGAAAATTTAAAAAGTAAAAAATTATACATATATTTCTTTATATACATAGTTTTTAACTTGTTTATTATCTCGTTGATTGCTAAGATAAACTTTTAATGCTTGCCAAGAACGTACTCGTGAAAAAGCAACATAAAGTTGCCCATGATTAAAAACATCTTTGCGAAGATCTATTCCTACTCTGTCAAATGTCTGTCCTTGTGATTTGTTAATTGTCATTGCAAAAGCTAATTTTATCGGAAACTGTCTTCTTTTAAAAGTAAAGGGATATACATTTTCGCAATACAATGTTATACGGTTTAAGAAGACGACATCTCCTACTTTATCACCTGTTAAGATTTTGCATTTTAATAAATGATCAGCAAGTTCTATAATCATTAATCTTGTGCCATTGCAAAGACCTTCATTAATACTGAGATTTCTAATCAACATAATAATACAATTTTTTCTTAAACGTAATTCATAAGGAGGAAGAGATGGCGGAGACAAAGTATTTAAATATTCTGGAAGTAAAATTTCACTAATATCACCATTATCATCGCAATTTTCAGTACTGTCTATACTTGTATAAATCCGTTCTTCATAAGTATCTAATAATTCAATAACTCGTTTATTAATTTCATCTACATCAGCATTTCTTGCAGAAAGTATCGCACATTTAGCCAATTTGTTAAATTCATTATTTCGTATTAGATCACCATATATATCTTCTATAATATCAGCATTATCAGGTGCAATATAATGCACATTCCGGTAATTGTATGTTATCATTGGAATCATTTAATATACCATAAATCTTTTTAGCTATAGAAAAATAGTTAAAGGTTACAAGAAACGCTAAAAAGAACAGACTATCGACTCGGAGTCGAGTCAACAAATCAAAAACGCTATAAATCTCTTAAATATACATAAATAGCCTGCTTATATCGATTGTATTATTTGTGTGTCTCGAGTTAATAAATTGTTCATTTTCCTTTCCAAATATTTCAATTTAAATAGTAAAAATTTAAATTAAACTTTCAAACGTGCAATTCAACATGGGCATTTTATTAACTCGAGATACGCAAATAATATTATAAAAATGTTTAGAGACTAAATCTCTTAAATATACATAAAAAGTCCTCTTATGTATTAATTATATTATTTGCGTGTCTCGAGTTAATAAATTGTTTTTTTTTACATATATTTTGACTTTAATATCGAAAAATTAAACTTTGAAACATGTAATTGAACATGGACATTTTATTAACTCAAGACACGCAAATAGTATAATAAAAATGTTTAGAGACTAAATTTCTTAAATATACATAAATAGCCTGCTTATATTGTATTATTTGTGTGTTTCCAGTTAATAAATTGTCCATTTTCCTTTCCATATATTTAAATTTAAACAGCAAAAATTTAAACTTTCAAATGTGCAATTCAACATGGATATTTTATTAACTCGAGACACGCAAATAATATTATAAAAATGTTTACAGACTAAATCTCTTAAATATACATAAAAATCCTCTTATATATTGATTATATTATTTGCGTGTCTCGAGTTAATAAATTGTTTTTTGTACATATATTTTGACTTGAATATCAAAAACTTAAACTTTCAAACGTGTAATTGAATACGGACATTTTATTAACTTTTTTTATATAAAGGTTACTTTTTGCATTTTTTTTCTCTCTTTCTTATTCATTCTAACATACTTTTATAAACTATTTTTTTAAAGAAATTTATTAATTTATTACATTTTACATAGAAATACAGAAGTTTGTGACGGGACGTCCCTTTTTTGGACCGTCCGTCACAAGGGATCTACAGACCCGACCGCGGGCGGTAGTTTCGAGTCCTGCGTCCTTCCGATTTTCGGAGGCGGACGCGTGGCGCGGGCCGCAGGGCTACGTTTGCGTGGCTCCCGCGCCCGAATACCGAAGTACCGTTTGTAACCACTTTCTAGTTCCGGAGCGATCTTGATTAAATTAACTTAGCGTATCGGCGGCTCCCGGAGGCTTTGAATATTTCGCCCGTCTCACCGACGTCGCAGCGGCCACAA